GAGGGGAGAAAGGAGTGCTTCAAAGCGGCAGCGCTGCATGGAGCCCAGGGTCTGTTGCTTTGAGGAGCCGCGTGGAACTGGGGTCAGCTGAGAACTCCCTGTGCTGCAAGAGGGGGCTCAGGGCTAGGATATGGGATTAGATTGCTGAAAGTTACGGTGAAGGAGGGGGTTCCAACCTTGGGCAGGGGATTGGAGTGTGGGTGTATGTTCGGGCTCCAGCCAGGCAGTGCTTACCTCAGGTGGCTCCCAGTGAGCAGTGCAGCAGGGCTAAGCCAAGTTCCTTGCTTGCTTTGGCTCTGTGCAGCTCCCAGAAGTGTCTGGGATTTCCAGCTGCTAGGCAGATGAACCAGGGGGCTCTGTACCTCACTCACGCCTGTAGGTGCTGTCCCCATAACTCCTATTGGCCGTGGTTCGGAGCTAATGAGAACTGCAGAGCTGGTGGTCAGGGCAAAGGAAGTGCACAGAGTTTCCCCAATCATACATGCATCTAGGAGTTGCAGACACATGCTGGAGTTGCACAGACCCAAGGCAGACAAGGAGCCTACTTTTAGCCCTGCTGATCAGACTTTCAACCACCCAGTCACTGGTACTGACCAGAGTTTCAGGGTTCCTTTCAACCAGGTATTCTGGTAAAAAACAAACAAACAGATGCCTTGCAACCCTACCTCACTCTTAATGAGAAGGTATAATACCAGGTAGGTGTTGGGTACATGGCTGGCTGACTGACTGACTCAACTCCTTGGTGAAGTCACATTAATTGATGCTATGAAGCCTTCCTCTGATATTCCACATCATCACAGACTTTCTTCATATCTCTAATGAGTGCCTGCTGCTTTTCTGCCCAAGCAGCATGTGCCTGTGTATCTGTGATTAATTACAGCAGGAACTCCTGGCTGAAGGACAAAACATCTCCTCTGCATATGTCCATAGCACTGGGAAAGAGGTGCTGTGCCATCTGTAGTTACTATTGGTCCAGTTGTCACATTTGTTTCAATTGAAGGAAATTATTTCAGAGAAGGAGAAAGGACGCCTTCTTATTCAACAGATTTGCTCCTTTATGGAGCCAAACACTTATGTGCTTAGCTTCAGCGGAAAAAAAAAATCTTATTTGTATTTCTATTTGCACTGCTCTTAAAGAGTTGGATTCTGTTTCTCCTTGTTCATCAACAACAGTGGTTTTTTTTAACCTTCATTCCAATAAATTACACTTTTGCAATCACACTGAATGGCCACATATTTCATTCCGTGTAATCAGAAGGCAGGGGCATTAGTACTAAAATGAGAATTAAATAAAAATACAAAAATAGGAAATAAGACAAGATCAAGAATGCATGAGTAAATCAAACTATTAATACTTTTAATTGTTTGCAATCTACATGTTTCACAAGTTGTGCATATATGAACATAACAACGAGTAGTCCTGTGGCATCTTAGAGACCAACAAAAGTACAGTCTGGCCTGGCACTGTTGGGACCTGACTGGTCCCGAATCAAAGAATTTGCCAGATCAGGGGAGGTCTCCTGCTTCTGGGCCCCACGCCTATTGCATGCTGTCTCACTCTCTCCCACCCCCAATCTGGCTGGGTTGCTTGCCCAGCTGCTGCTAGCTCCCTAGACAGCACATGTTCTGGCTCCTGCCATGGGGCTCTGGCCCCATGCATCTGAGGGCAGCTGCAGGGCTCCAGCCCTGGCCCCACTCTCCAGCAGGTTGCTACGGGGTTCCGGCCCTGACCCTATGCTCCAGGGAAGCCAAGGGGATCTGGACCCGGCCCCATGCTCCTGGGGGCTGTGCTCCCCCGGAACACAAGACCGGGGCACCAGGAGACTCTGGCCTCAGCCTTCAGCTCCCAGGGGTTGCTGGAGGCTGTCCCCATCACTATCCACAGCTGGGCTGCCAAACTTGTTGCCCTGGCCCTGGCTGGCCCTCCTGCCCTTAGGCTCCTGGGCTTTCTGGTCCAGGAGCAGCCATGGTCCTGCCAGATGACAGATGTTGCCAGCCCAGAATGCCAGTTTTTGCAAGTACAACCTATATATAGTGTAAGGAACTTTCATGGGCAAAACCTTCAAAAGATTTAAGGTGTCATAGGACTACTCGCTATTTTTAAATTTACAGACTAACACAGTTGCACCTCAGACTCATGCACTTATCAGTTACTCTTAGCCCGTGCTTCCTCTGCCTTCTCCAATCTGGTGTTGTGAAATTCACTGAACAAATTCTATTGTGAACTCTCTGGAAGAGGAGTGCCTACTACTGCCTCAGTCTTGCTGAATATCATGACACAGGTACAGTCCGAAGTGCTGATCTTGGCAGATGTGTTGCTCAGCTGTCCATAGTTTGTGCTGCAGAACGTTTATTATTCATGATAAAGCATCAGGTACCAGTCTGAGTTTGCAGGTTAGATAGGAAAAAAAAAAAACTTTCTGGCTGTAAACTGAGCTCATTTGATGTAAAAATCACTAATAGACTATAACCATGATGCGCTCAGATGCCAATACTTAGATACTTTGGTTACTTGTAGGGATGTTGAAAGGTTACCCTTAACGAGTGATGATTAACGAGTTCTGGTTAATCAGTGGGGGCTGGAGCAGCTCCTTGCCTGCCACAGGCATGACTGCCCTAGCCCTATGGAGCCCACCACAGACACAGGTGCTCCAGCCCGGCCAAGGCTGTCCCTGTCTGTGGGTGGCCCAGGCATACCACAGGCAGGGACTGCTCCAGATGTCCAATGCTTAAACTTTATGCAGACCCATTTTAGCCAATGGAGGTACTTACATTTCTGGAAGTGGTTATGTTCATGTTTGTAGGATTGGGGCAAAAATCTGTTTAAAAATACTAAGGATCTTACTCAACACACTCATTTTTAAAGTCTCAGGCACTAGTTTTCTGCAAAAAAGACCTGTATGAGATCGTGAAATGAAAAGGCCCACTTTTTCATTCTTGTTTCTTCTCATTTTGCAAATTATCAATTCTATACTGCACCCCCCCAAATATTTTTGTTACAACAGAAACCTAAATATTTCATTATTTCTCTTGAATTGAATATTAAGTGCCTATTGTTAAATCTCTGTTGCACTACCATAAAAAGTCCAGAGAAATATTAAGACTCAAGATTAAAATCACTAAGCATGAATGAAAGTTGTTGGAATTACCACGTCATAACATTCAAGACATTAAAATTCAGCCATGAGTGCTGCTACTTTACCTCCTAAATGGTAAAAATGGTAACACTAGTAGAAGAGGTGGAACAGTCAATATACAACTAAATGAAGTATAATAATGTGTGGGTCAAGACATTTCATTTAGCTACAGTGTAATGACCTTCAGAAGAGTATTGATACAGTTATTGTCTAGATTCCAGTTTTCCAATACCATTTGTGGAAAAAAGTAACTTGCTGAATGAAAGAAAAATTAACTCTGCAATGTTGATGTCTACCTGTCAATTTTCATTATCCAAAGCCATAGGAAAAACACTTTAGAAAATAAAGGGGAACAAAATCCTAGAAATTCATGGAATCTAGAACTTAAAGAATTGCAAAGGGTCTACAGCAAGAAAACTCTAAAGTTCCACTTCAAGGGAGTCACTACTTTTAAAAAAAAAACCAGTTACCTACCTTTCATAAAAGTTGTTCTTCAAGATGTGTTTCTCATGTGCATTCCAATAAATGTGCATGCGCTCATGCATGATTCCTGGAAGCATTTTCCCCAGTGGTACTGTTAGATCGGATGTTAAACCCCACAGTATATAGTGCTATTTTGACACCCCCCCCCCCCCCCAGTTCCTTCTTCCCATCAGGGATGGTCAATGGAGTGATTGTTCTCTTGCTCAGCAACACAGCTCTACCTGTTTCCAATTGTGTACATCATTATTCTAAGTGTTAGTTGTTCAAGTTGTTATTAGATAATAGGCTTTCACTAGGGATCCCTCTTTTTTTCCTGAAAAAACAAGAAGTTTTAAGTTGGTCACCTGTTTTGTATTAGATGACTTAGATATCTGGATACGAGCTGCGGACACACCATATCATCCCATCCAAACAACTGCATCATTGATACAACAGGCTGTGGCTGGAGTTCTGATGGAGCTGTGCATGGCATGTCCAAAGCCAACAGAGTAAAACCTGATGTTCGAGGAAAAAGGAGGGGCTGAGTGTTAAGTTTCTCCAAATATTTAAAATATATTCCTGTTCTACTAAAAATTAGTTATTATTATTTAATATATATGTTTCCATCACTCCCACAGGTTGCAATCACCATTGGGAACCCATCATGCCAGACACCATTTAAATGTATATGAAGATGCTGTCCCCATTCTGAGTAGCTTACAATCCATGGCAACATAAAATTTAGCAGACTGATAAAATCAAAATACATCCTGTTTAACACCATATTTTCCTTTTCCACTCCCTTTCATGCCTGAATACATTTTTTTGTCCCATTACAATTTTTAAAACTCTTTCTTTCTCAGGAATGAACTGTGTGTGATTAGCTTTACCTTTTGGAATTTAGTTTAAGTGCAGAATTGTTTCTGTAAATGAGAGTTGCTTGCAGAAGAAAAAAGTGTAAATACAGTGCTAATGACAAAGTTTCTTTTGAACTGAACAATTTCACATAGGCTAACACAACATCTTCAGATCTAGAAAACTGTCAAATGAATAACTGCCTCAGAATATTTTTTTTAGAAACACAAAGTGGGTGAGGTAATATCTCTTATTGGACTAACTGCTGTGGGGAAGACAGGGACGCTTTTGGGTTACAATTCAGATGTCACAATTTTTCTCTTACCCACAGCAGTTGGTCCAATAAAAGATATTATCTCACCCATCTTGTGTCTCTAATATCCTGGGACTGATACATCAATAACATCACCGCATGCAGAATTTTTTAATGAGACATAACCATGCTCTTTACACTAGTGGGCCAACATGGAACTTACCTCCAACACTAAAAACAACAAAAATTATTCTCTTAGCTCATTCTTTATGCTATGGATAATAAATACATTTCAAGGCAGGCTGGAGATATACCCTGGAATGCTGATAAGTTATTAGAATAAATGAAATTGGCAAAAGCAAAGGAGGCTTGGAAGACTCATCTTTGTTTTTTTATAAAATGAAAGGTGCTCACCAGCTCCTAGAAAACAGCATATTAATAAATTAACAGCATATGTTACATGTTTTCAGGAGCTGGTTTTTGACTGGCTGAAGTACAGCGCAAGTATATTCTCAGAAACAATACAAATGCAGCTATTTTAATTAATGGAACAGAGTTAGGTCTTTTATCTTACAAGTCCTCAGTAAGAGTGAACATGCAGTTTTGCTTCCTCAGAAGCAGACTAAGGATCTTTTGTAAAGCACAGTCACAATATGGTGCCTAATTCACCTTAGGAAAGGAAGTCATTGTGCCAATCATACAGACCTAGCACAGTTTACTTTCCTCACCACAGTCATTCGGCAATGTTTGCCAGTGCTGGAGATAAAAGTTGTGAAATTGAGTCCCAAGCCCACTCAATTTAGGCTTAATCAATTGTTCTTTTATTTATCCATTTCAGAAAGACTATTGTCACTTGGTGTCTGGACATACATTTATGCCAGATGAAGAACAACAGACAAAACAGAATTGATGAACAGGCCCAAGCAGCCACATTCTGGAGCGATAATAGTGGTCACCTACTCTGATACCTCTGGTCTTTCAGCCCTATTCTTCAGTTTCTGGTGCCCTGTTTCTCCAGTTTGGGGTCATATTCACTTCAGTCTTTTATACATTTTTACATTAAAAAGTCTTTACTCTTTGCCCAACTGGCTTACAGCACAAGAACCCTGTGGATTTTAGGTAACACATAATATTACACATAGCAAGTTTCAGTTGCCAAACTTCAGTATTTTTCCTGCTGGTTTGGGGGACATGGCTTTGTTTGGTCACCCTGCCTAGGTCTTCCCAGAAAAAGGTTTTGGTTCTGTGTTTTTATTTAGCATTATTTGTTTGTGTCTCTCTTACTTCTATGTTGATTCTGTTCTGCCGGCAATAATATTTTAAGCGGATGAGCAATTCAAAAGACAAATCAGAAAAAAAAATCACTTATGCCACCAAAACTTTAGCTTTAGAGATACATCAGCTGTGCTCATTCACTGCACATAATTATAGGTAATAAAAATGTAGTTCTCAGAGCTCTTACTATTACTATCAACGATTCTTCATTTTATATTTCAATGCTACAAGTCAGTTGTATTATTCTAAGCTACCATTAATTTATTAGAAAGGGGAGGGAAGTTACAGAAAAAGTGGTTCTTTAATGTACATTTATCTTCATACAAAACTCAGATTAATATTTATAAATCAGTGCCAAGAAACCTTATTAGAATACCAATGCAAATTCATTTTTGAGGAGTGATTCCATTTTTGGGTCCTTGATATTTAGTAGTTTCAATGGTATTCCAACACCAGTAAAAATATGAGAAGAAGGGAACAGAATGGCGTTGTGAAAGGTGATACTTCCTGTTCCTGGATGTTTACTTGCCATCCACCTAATTAAGAGGAGGAGTAGCAGTGTTAAGGAGACTGCCATCTCCGTGTTTGAACCTTCAATGCAAGGAGCCTGCAAAGTGGAAAAAGGAATTACATTCTTTCACACTGCTCCCCAATATTGGCTCATAGCACAGGTCACAACTGTATCTATACTCAGCATTGCAAGTACATTTCTAATAATGTTGGTTCTCTCACGATTTTGTACGGAAAAGGAAAAAGGAAATATTTGGGGAAAATATCTAACCATAGAAGGAGAATGGATCTTGATTTAATTTTGTATTGCCACTTTCTACAAATGCCTCTGTAGTGACAGACTTTTACTTCAGCTGTTTGAATTATGTTGCAGCACCTAAAATGAAGGTTTACAGAAAAAGTTTAAGAAGGGATTTAATATCAGAGATTATAATTTGTTTAGTTGGACATAAAATGAGTGGTGATAATATCAGGACTCTTTGCTTAGACTAGTATTTAGTTTTAAGAATAATGCTTTAATTAAATAAGAATTAAATGTTAGTTTAAATTCAGAAAATGCAACATGGCTGACCAAAATGGCAGACATGGGGATGATGTAGTGGAAGATAAGGTACACAGAGGTCCATTAGCTATGATGTAATAATTTTACTTCCTATGATACAAACGTAAATTCCACTTCTGGTGGGGAATATCTCATCAAAATTCCGTAGAGACATATGGCCCACAGGAATAAATGAGGCTTCCAAACAAGAAGTAGCTAGGAGTCATCCAAAGGTCAGCTAAAAGCTGGAATACATTGAGCCCATAGAAATTCATGGTGCTTCCTGTATATACGACTTGATTAGCAAATAGCATATGCTAATCCCTGGAAGTCGATTGACTGAGCTCGAATGTCACATGGCATAAATTAGCATATTCTGATCACTGAAAGCTGACTGGCAGAATTATGATAACAAATCACAAATTAATAAGAAATGAAATCAAGGGTTTTCTCTTGAAATAACTGCGTCTTAACGGTGTCTTATTTCGAAATAGCGCCATAATGCGAGTATGCAAATGAAGCACGGGATATTTAAATCCCGGCTTCATTTGCAATTTCAAATGTCTTCATTTGCATCCCTCTCTCGAAAGAAGGTGCAAGTGTAGACATACCCTGACATGCTATCCATATGTCTGGATTTGGAGTGGTTCTTTGTAAGGTAAAATTCTAGCAACGTAACAACTTCCTATACAAAATGACCTATGTAATGTCAGAATGTATCTGAATGTAAAAATGCTACAAAAAGGATAATGAAATGTACCTTTAAAAAAAAATCTACATAAATGTCAAAACAAGATACCAAAAAGTGAATTATGTAAGCTATTCGCATACTGACAAAACCAAAAGGAGAGCAAACTTTCATGTAAAGCAATAGGACAAATTTTAGGTATAATATAATGAACTATAAAACATTATCCTTATTTAGATTTACAACAGACATTGCAAATATAATTTAAGCTGTCAATGATGTGAAAAATCAAAGAGTCCTATAGATTCAAACCATTCCACTGTCATGGATCTGCATCCTATAGGCAGAGACTCTATTTTTTTATGTCAACATATTTAGCACCATTTAGCACAGAGCCTCATCTCTACATTTAGGTAGATTTGAGCTACTAAATAGGAGCAGTAATATGTGAAAACAATAAAATACACCAAAAAGTTTGCATCCAAGGAAACAGCAAAGGAAGCAATAGAAAAATGAAGGTCAGTGCTGACCTGCAGCTGTATCTGCAAGCTGTGGAGGTGGCAGTGTCTGTGACATTCTCTGGCTCTTCAAGAAAGGGAAAAAATTTCTCCATAGAGCACTGGCAACAGCAAGGTGGTGCTCTTTAGCCACTAATGGAAGTTGTGCGTTGGGACCCATGTTCCCTAGCTGAGGTCCCTGGATCACACGTTTGTGCACACTCCTGGGGAGAAACAAAAACAACGTTAACATGCAATAAATGAAAAAATGGATTCTTTCACAGCTTCTTTAAACTGTACAGTCTGAGAACTGAAGGATCATTTTGTATAATTAAAACCTTTATGCACAGACATTATGCATACCAGTTATTTGATGGATGAATGATGGCATATTAAGCACCATAAAGTTAATGTTAATTACTAATGTCAGCCATTAATTATATGCTTTTTAATATGTCAGATCAAAATGAGGAATAGGCCACTTTAAAATGAGCGTTTGCATTTTGCAACTGCTGGTAAGACAAGTGAGCCTTGCTACAATCCAAAGCAGACACTTAAAAAAAAATCTGTAAAAGGTCCTGGGTGTTTAGAGAAGAACAGTAAATAATGAAAAATGTTTTTTCTTAATGCTAAGACTTAAAATTAGAGTTTACTTTTTAATTTGCAAAACCTCAGCAAATGAATGTAGAATAAAAGCAAAGATTCATGTTTTCCCAATGCATCACAGACAAGGTTTGACAGCAGTGCCCATACCTTTGTTAGTACAGTAAGGACAAAAGTTACCATTGCCACACAATCCCATCTCTTTGTGAGACAATGTGGCATAAATTCAATAATGCATTCAATTTTCTTTGATTCTTCTAGTACCATTCCTACTACTTAATCTAATTTGGAAGTTGTGACTTTCTAGAGGTTTAATAGAGATATGTCTGCAGGGAATCAATGTTCTCAGAGAAATGATGGGGAGGGGGGAGGCATTAATAAATTTGTCTGGTGCACTAGGATAGGAGGCATTACTGCAGTGGGCTGATCAACTAAATAACATGCTTATTAAAAACAATCTGCAGGAACACACTATTATTCCTGTTCCTATTTATCTTCTGGTCAACTCAATTGAGACCGTGCATTAAAGCGCAGGCAGCATTATTACATTTGCTTTATTAAATTCTATAAACAGCTCTGTAAAGTCAAAGTCAAGATACTTATAGATAATAGCATAGAGTGAAGGCAGTGAGACTTGCCTTAACACTAATGTTTGTAGACTATAACATACGAGGGAAAAAAAGTCAACAGAAAACATTTCATAAACCTCCCCTTCCTAGGTTTTTTTATTCTATGTTCATCCACCTTTGAGAATGTGAATGAATCAGACACCTGTCAGGACATCAGTAAGAGAATGATTTTAAATAAAGAGCAGACAGGCAGCAAGGCCTACTGTTAGTATATATGATATTAGAAATGTGTATCCCATTATACCAAATTAGTATCCAAAAATTCTTCCAAACAGATCCTTTTAAAACAAAGTATACCGGCTGTCAAAGGCAGCAGATACCTTATGGCTATCCACAGGTATCTATTAGTTTCAATGGGATACACACAGAGAATTGAGTACCACTATTTTTTGATTGGTTACACTTAATACATATAATATACTATGTTACACAACCTATAAGACATCAGATATTTTGTTGAGCGGGACATGGTCCAAACACATGAATAAGAACCAGAAATTCCTGAATTCTAAGCTCACCTCTAGCTTTTATTCCTTTTGTGGCCTTAGAAAAATAACTTAATCTTTGTAAATTTCAATATCCGATACACTGAATCGAGTTCATAATATTTAGCTCCACTTTCATAGAATGTTAAGAAGATTAATCAATGTTTGTAAAAACCTGTAGAAGATGAAAACTCTGTACAGTGTAACAGCTGAGTAGCCCATTTAAAAAAATCATTTCCAAGTTAACATGCCTAAAAAGGTGCTTCTTCGAGATTTTCTCTGACACACACGATGGCTATAGTAATAACACCAGCAGAAGTACAAGTTTAAAAAACAGCCATGTAATCATATGGGCTTGCAGCAATGTGGTAGAGTTAACTGTAAGCAGAAAATTATTATTAGACTGAGTTAAAAAATAAAAGGAATTCACAGCTCAAAAATCTGAATGGCTTTGTTTGTTTTTGTTTTAATAAAGGAAAAGAGAATTCCTTTTAGTACAGCAAGTAAAATGACAAGGATCAAATTCTATTCTTATATCTACTGATTAGTCCTTCCCCTCCCCCCCAAATTGCCTCTCCAAAGAAAGACTGTTTGCATCTCATTTAGCCATCTATGTTTAGGGGAAGGATGTTCAGACTTCCAAAGTAAGGTAATAGATCTCTGTGTCAGAAGAAGGACAAGATGCATAAATCTGCGTTTCTGTTTATTCACAGTGACCTAAACACACACTTGCAATAAGGTAAATGCTTTATGTCAATGGGACTTCAATATGTACTATAGTCAATGTTCAGTCAGCCACCTCCACTAATAAACAAACCAATTTATTGCAATAAAAATACCGATAAATACAGCCACGTTTCACTTAGCAGCCTAGTCAAATGTGCCCACTAGAAACCTGCTCCACTGCTGAGATCATATTCATTCTGTTTGCCATAGGTAAAACTGTCAATAGTTTCTGGAACCATTCACCATTTCATTAAAATGGTAAAAAAAATGGTTTCTTTTGTTTTAATAATGCATTTAATATTTTTGCTAAAATGTGTTTTTCTGTTTACTAACAGACAAAATAAAAACAGGCATTATAAAAGCAAGGAACATTTGTTACTCCTGTTTGTAGCCTGTGGGTTGTGCTGGACAATCATATAGCAGCTATGTTCAGGAATCTTTTTTACCCTTCATGCATGGACAGGAGATTACAGCCATTTCTTTCAGGTGTGGTCCTTGATACCAGGGTGTTTCCCTCTTTCCCTACTTAGGTCTTATCCTCATGATGGGTGGGCCAAGTATAATCATCTTCCATGGGAGTTGTGGACCCTCAGGTGGCTGATAAGGCTGATCCTTGAACCACAAGTTCTATACAGTGAGAACTAGGGTTGCCAGGTGTCTGGTTTTGAACTGAACAGTCCAGTATTTGAGCTTTCTGTTCGGGAAACAAATTGAGAAAAATATAAATGAGAAAATATAACTGGCATTTTCTAAATAAGATGTAGTGTAGATTGTGATGTAATGTCAAGTGTGTCCGGTATTTTTGTTGAAACCCTCTGGCAACCCTAGTGAGGGCAGATGTTTCCAGGTGCAGCAGGAGGCTCTTGACCATGACTAGAAGCCAGTCTCTCCTTCTTCCTGCACCTCTTCTCCTCCTCAGCTTGTTGGCAGGCAAATTCAAAATGCAGGGGATCACTGTGTAGGGCTTCTCTCCATTTTGAGTGATTCTGGGCAAGTGTCTCTCAAGAGTCAATGTCAATGTTGCACTTCTTTAAGTTATCCTTTAGCAAGTCCTTATAACATTTCCAATGTCTTCCTGCGTTACAATATCCTTCTTTCAGCTAAGAAAATAGGACCTCTTTTGGGAAGCGATGGTCTGGCATCCAAACAACTTGACCAGTCCAGCGAAGTTGCTGATGGATGATAATTGCGTCGATATTGGTGGTCTTTACCTCTTTCAGAACACTGATGTTAATGTGCCTGTCTTCCCATTTGATCTTCAAGATCTTGCAGAGGAAGTGTTAGTGATACCTCTCAAGGACTTTCAGGTGATGTCTGCAGGTGTTCAGGTTTCAGACCCATACAATAGTGTTGGGAGAATGACAGCTTGATAGACAAGAAGCTTGGTGTCTGTTCAAGTGCTGTGATCTTCAAAAACCTTGTGCAGTAAACGAGCAAAGGCTACACTGGCACAGCTCAAACGATGTTGGATTTCTACATCAATATCTGCCTTGGATGAAAGATAACTTCCAAGGTAGAAAAAATGGCTATATTTAGGGCTATACTTTGGACCAATCCAAAAATTTAAACAGGTGCAGAATGACACACATTGCCTATTAAATTGAAGTGTATGTCACCGACAGAGATGTTAGCGTGTAATTGAACTGTTGTGTAACTGCATGAAATGTAAGCGATTACATGGCTATTCAATATTCCATGGGAAGTGGGGCCGGCAGCCAGTGCGCTCCCGGCCCCACTTCTGGGGAACCCCCTGCTACCCCGTGCTACTACCTCTCTATCTGGCAGTAGTGCAGGGTGGCAGGCAGGAGCTGGTCTGTGAGGGGAACCAGTTTAAAATCCAGCTCCCTCACAAACTGGCTCCTTCCTGATAGAGGCAGCAGTGCAGGGTGTTTCCCCCTACTGCATCTGCAGGACACAAGGGGTGGGCAGGCAAGTCCATGGAGCCATCATGCATGGGGAGCCTGCTTGAAAGTCAGCTCCCCGTGCATATCATCTGCTGTCTGGCTCCTTCACCCTCCACGCTGCTGCCTCTCTATTACAGGCAGCAGCATGGGGATGAGGGTGGCAGGTGGATCTGGTGCTTATGAGGAATCAGCTTTTAATCCAACTCCTCATGGGCACCAGCTCCCCTCTCCCTCTTGCTGCATCTCAGACCAAGGCAGCAAGGAGGGGGAGAAATGTGTGTACAGGTTGGATTTCTCTAGTCTGGCATCCTCAGGACCTGACTAGTCCCGAATGAGGGGATTTGCTGGACCAGGGATGGGTCCCTCTCCTCGTGTCTGTGCTGCCACCAGGGTAGGGTTCCAGCCTGCCCCCGCTGCTGCCTCTGCCCCACCCCAGGGGCTCATCCTGGCCCCACTACTGTAGGGGCTGGAGCGCCATGGACAGAGCTGCATAGAGGCAGAGGTCCACAGCTGCCTGGCTCCACAGCTGGGGCTGGGGCTGGAGCTCTGTGGCCGGGGCAGAGGGACAGGGTCAGAGCTCCCTGGTTGCTGCTGGGGATGGAGTCCCCCGGCTGCTGGAACCAGAATGTGTCCAGAGCACCATGGCTGGGAACGGGGCCAGAGCTCCCTGGCTGCCCCTGGAGTTGGAACTACCTGGCTGGAGCTGGAGGCCCATGGCTGCAGCCAGGCTAGAACTCTCTGGCCACTGGGGGTAGGGACCTCTGCTGGGGTCACAACACCCCACCATGCTGCCCTCCCCCCACACATACTCTGGACTCCCTGCTGAGTCGCTGGTGCCCCTTACAGCGCTCCTGCCTCCGCCGCCAGACCTTCCTCT